GATGTTCCAGAACGTATAGACTTAGTAAATGGTCTTATTGGTAATAATGTCAGTTTAAATGCTAGTTACAGTTTGCTTGTTAGAATGGTAATGAATCTGAATACTGGAGATATTTGTAAGTCAATTTTTTCAGGGTCAATAAAAATTTAACAAATATGTTTTTTTATCTCTTTTTATAGTGAATTTTACATATGTAATCCCAGCTTGTCAACAATGTGAATATACTTCAACAGGAAACTGTACCAGTGATGATAGTGCATGCGTATGCGATACTAATTATGCGGGACAATATTGCCAAACTCCTGCTCAGTTAAATACAACTTATTTACCGACATCCACTACTACTAATACTGCTATCACGACTACTACAACTGCTGCTACAAGCACTTCAACAATAACTTCGATAACATTTACCGAACCCACTAATGTGACGAGTGAATCATCTACTCTACACTCTACTTCCGCTACAGGTACGATCACGACCGGAAATATAGTCACAGAAACAGCATCAGTAACTTCAACAACACGTGTCACTACTGAAAGTGAAGAATCTTCTGAAGAAACTTCACAAAGTTCTACCGCGACAACGCCCTTCACTGCAGGTTCGACAGGTTCTAATACATTATTTCAAACAGCAACTGTATCTACCAATGGTATTACATCAACAACACGTATCACCACTGAAAGTGAAGAATCTTCCGAAGAAAGTTCACAAAGTTCTACCGCGACAACGCCTTTCACTACAAGTTCGACAGGTACTAACACATTATTTCCAACAGCAACTGTATCTACCAATGCTACTACATCAACAGCACCATCATCAACTATAGAAATAACTGGCACGACCGGCACAGGATCAACATCGAATATTGAAACTATTGGTTCGTCTACTGCTACGACTGCAGAAGCTACATCATTAACAACTAACACGATTTCGGCAAACTCTATTACTACAACAATAGGCACAATCACAGTTACAGTACCATCAACACTAACAGCAACCGTAGCAGGAACGTCTTCAACAACTACATTTACTAGTGGAATCTCAACAGAAAGTGTAATGTCTACATTACAAGTTAGCATCGAAACGTCAAGTCCGAATAGTGCAGCTACCCATATGACAACTGCAGAAACTGCTCAAGTAACAACAAAAAGCGGCTCAACTATAACCAGTACGATAGCTACAACTACGGCAGTCGGCACAGCACCAGTATCAACAGGAACTGTCTCTCCAACGAATACTATCTCGGGTGGAACAAGTGAAGCTATCACATTAATGACCAATACAAGTCCAACAAGCTTCAGCAGTACAACCACTAGTACCAGTATGACAGCAGGAATTAGTTCAGCCTCTACACCTACAGGCAGTACAACAGCTATAACCACCACGGTCGAAATATCACCAGTCTCAACAGCAACCGTAGCAACAATTACTTCGTCGGCTACAGCTACTAGTGGAACTGCTACAAGTACAAGCAGTGTATCGCCAATTAGCGTGAACACGAACGGTATAACTGGTGCTACTGAAGGAACTACCGATTTGACACCAGGGATTACTTCAACCTCTACAACTGCAGGTAGTACAACACTCGGAACTTCACCAGTATCAACAGCAACCGCAGCATCAATTACTTCCACAGGTACAGTTACTAGTGGAACTGCTACATTACCAAGCAGCACGTCAACAACTAACGTCAACACCAACGGTATATCCGGTGCAACAACTGAAACAGGTACAGTTACAAGCAGCATATCAACCACCAGCACAAACACGAACGGTATAACCAGTGCAACTGCTGGAACTGGTACAGTTACAAGCAGCACATCAACAACTAGCACAAACACCAACGTTATAACCAGTGCAACGGCAGTAACTACTGAAGTGACAGCTGGAATTAGTTCAACTGCTACACATACAGGCAATACAACAGCTATAACCACAACAATCGAA